TTGGTATTTAACAACATCGTTATATTGCGATGTATCGTTATTTTTATATTGAAATCAATTTGGTAAATAAACCTATGGGCCCCTTTTAAGCCAAAAATAAGCCGGTATTGCAATATTTTGAACGTTGTATTAGTGAGATAATAATAGTTCATAAAATTTATCACACACGAATATACTTCTTATATGCTCAAGCGTCTTGAAATAGGCTTAATTTACTTGTTTTTAAGGTATTTAGCTAGGCAGCCAATCTACTTTTATTAATGCCCTTGAGAAATAGTAATTAAATTCACGTCTTACGTCGCGATGTAAAACGATATATCGATACTGCAAGTTCTTTAACGATACTCTCTCCAAAACCACGAACATCGATATACCGATACTGCTATCGGCAGCCTCCGACAGCCAAGGAGCAAAAAAAATCGCAACTAGTAATGGCCACGGAAAATTTGCGGAAGAAAAATCCAATTTGCCTGTTAAAAACCGATCCAATTAGGATTTTAAAGTGTGTGAAACAACAACAACAACCCGGTTTCCTAATTGTAAATTAAAAACGCGGTGTATCTAAGAAAACGAATTGTGCAATTACGATCAAAGGATTTGACCGGTCGCAGCTACATAAATGAAGCACACAATTTGCGCATAAATGAAGTGCAACAGCAGTTAAACAAACGCAACAGGTCCGCGGGCGCCTAGTGTAGCAACAGTGATTAATTAGTGCTAAAAGATATGTACTAATATCTTAATAAAACACACAATGCAAGCGATCGCCATTAAACGGTTGCAGCGAGCGAAGAAAAAATAGAGCGAGACGGCGCTAGAATGTATGTATCGGGCTCCAATTCGCAGTTGTCGGTCACGTGACGTGCGGGAGAGAATGAAAGAACGAGAAATTGCGGAGAAACGGGAAAAGCGAGTAATGTCGTCACCGTTGGCGATATTCGCCGTGCAAAACATCGGAACCGAATCTGCGTACGAAAGTCGGAAAAATGGCAAGCCGGAAAAATCTACGCGCGGGATTAGTGCAGCCGTTGTTTTTTTTTTTTTTTTTGTTGTGCAAGTGAAACGTAAAAATGTACGCGCGGGATGCGTGGAGCCGTTAGTGTTTTTTGTTGTATTTTTTTTGTTGTGCAAGTGAAACGGAAAATTTCCGAAAGTGCCAGTGAGTCAAAGTCCCGCTATTTTCCGTATCGCTTTTGTGGGCTTCTTTCGTCGATCGGTCAAGCAGCTTATGCCGATACCAAGGGAAAGCAGAAGGAAGAAAAGCGTAGCGGATAAAATAGTGAGTGAGAAGTGAGTGAAAAGTTTTAATTTTTTTAGTTTTTTTTGTTGTGCATTTATGTATTTGTGATTATAGTGAATTTTTTTTAATTTTTTCTTTTGTGAATATTTGCGTGAAAAATTTTGTAAATTGAGAAGTTCATCAAGGCAGAGGAAAAGCGCTTTCCAAATTTCAACGTGCAGCAAAAAAATCTCAAGGTGAGTGTCGATTCCTATTATGTATTTATTTATTTAATTGCAGTGTAGTAATTTTGAGTGAGGATCATTTTCTTGACTTTTCTTCTCCCCACCTCCTTTATGATCGTTGCTATTCGCCATTAGGGTTTGTGTCTCTGATATTTGCCCTTGAAAATGAAATGTAAACAAATGGTACGGGAAGTAGATCCCGCAATACGATCCACATGTGTAAAATGCGAAGAAGATGTAAACAAACGAAAAGCGCTCTCTCACGGAAAGTTGATCCCGGATTACGATCCACAATGGTGGACTGGAAGTCCTTGTCCTATAAATATAAATTAAAATAATTGAAAACTCTTTAATAATACGTTTATAAATATTATTTGTATGCACATCTCCACAGTCTTATTAACCTTATTTTTATATTTATATTTACTATATTTATATTATTTTAATATATATTACGTGAATATAATGCCGAAAAAGTCGCTTATATTCTGAACATGTTGCTCAACATTTAGCCATTTATTTTATATATCAAAAAGCAATGTGAAATTAAAAATAGTGAACATTATATATAGTGTACAATATTTTTGAGCCTCTTGGAACATAAAAAAAGGATGGTATTTGTCCCGTAGTCCCATAGAATAAATATCCCTGAGATCGGTTTTAATTTAATTCTGTTAATTTTCGCTTTTGATAGCAGATCTGTTAATTAATTTTACTTCTTACATGTGATTTTACTTCCTACATGACATTTCTACCACAAAAGTGAGAATACGACCCATGGATCTGTAACCGTGTAAAATTGTTATGTAGACGTGTATGATGTAAAATGTTAAATAACAGCATGTTATTAAGCAAAATCAAAGAACCTGCTAATACCAGCATGTTAGTAAAAAAATCGCACAACTGATAATGGCCACGGAAAATTTGAAATTCGATCACTAGGAATTAATACAATAGAAACTATATTTATGTTTAAAAACAATTAACAAATTTGTTCTAAAACAAATCTCGCACATCTGAGCAAACCAAATGGTTCTAACATCCCCGGAACGAAGTGACTTCTGCCAGCCAAGTCTCAGAAATGTGTTGTGTTACAAAAGTTGCAAGTCATTGTTTATTAGTGTTCAAAGTTCGTAACTGATCATAAATACTTACTAGTTATAGATAATAACTGATCATAATTACTTATTGGTCATAGATACTTAGTGTTCAGAGTTACTTACTGCTCATAGTTAATTACTGGTGATAGTTACTTACTGATCATAGTTCTATAAATCGTCCGATTGTTCCTATGTCAGCTATATATATGTATATACATATATAGTCCACCGATTCGCCACTCTCCGATTTATACAATAGTAAAATTATATAGAAGAATAACTCCATAGTTTTATTTAAATAGATAACTCTTTGTTTCAAAACAAATCTCGCACATCTGTGCATATGATTCCCAACTGGTTCTAACATCCCCGGAACGAAGTGACTTCTGCCGGCCACGTCTCAGAAAAGTGTCGTGTTACAAAAGTTGCAAGTCATTGTTTGTTAGTGTTACTGGTCATTGATTAGTACTGGTCATAGATACTTATTGATCATATTTAATTACTGATCATAGTTACTTAATAATCATATTAACTTACTGTTGAAAGATACTCACTGTACATTTAACAAACGTATCTCTGGCAGTTATATTATATAGTATTTCGATTTTCATAAAACTAAGAACGAAATTCTATAATAATAAAATATAGCTTTAAATCAAATTAGATACAAAGTTTGTTTACTTTAATATCATAATTGTTTTTATAGAAAAAAGACTTGAAAATGGCGTAAATGGGCCCGGAATCAAGGACATTTTTGGCCAACTTTGATCGTTGACAGCTAGTTAATCAGCAACAATTTCGAAAAACTAGTCAAAACAGCATTACTATGGCTCAAGTTAAAATAGTATTCTAGATTTTCCATTGAAATGCTAATCAATCAACCTGATTTCAAATATTTAATAGATATATATTATCTTAAAATATATCCCACACCCATCAATTAAACCCGGTTGAGCTCCAATTGATTCAGTGTTCATGCAAGCATATTTAGTGCTTACAGAATTTGTAAAATATCCCAACTGCCAATGAATTTGCAACACATTTCTGGAAACATGGCACCACACACTTGGAGTACAAGTCGAGGCATAAATAAACAAACAGAGGAAATTGCAAATCCCCAAATTAGCATTAGCTAATCAAAGGTAACGAATGGCACAGGCAGGGGCAAGTGGGTGGAAAATCTTAAAGCAAATAATGTGGCCATCTGTAAGCGTGTTTGTGTGCGTTAAGTGCAATGTTAAGGGTCCGACCTGGGGCCATCGGGATGTTGGTATAATATATAATCGAGAAGTATGCCATTTGGATGGCAAAATTAAATTTGACTCGACCAACATGGCTTGCAAACAATCGCATGCACACGAGCAGCAGTGCCTGGCCAACATTTGCCAACTGCAGCTGCGAGTACATGGCTGGCAGTCAAATTTTCGGCTCTCTCGTTCACGCTCACCTGGCCCAAAGCCTTGGCCAAAGACAAAGCCAAAACCATGGACCAAATCAGGACAGGAAACTAGCCTGCGCCTGGCAGGGACCAATTAAATATTGAGAGGAGGCATTTGCCATTTCGTGCTCCGTTTGTAATTAGCCGTAACATTCTGCCGGATGCATACATGCATATACATTTATACACACATATGTGGACAATCAAGTCAACCTCATAATGCCATTTACCGAAAACTCCATTGATTGGCACACCTTCCTCCTTCCTCACCTCAGAACCTTCGACTTCAAAGCAATTTCCCCGTCACCCCAGTCGGAGGGTAAATATTTTATAGTAAACATAATCACATCGCACATCAAAGTCCCGAAATTCGAGATCTAAAATCCAAAATCAATCGAGTTGGTAAATCAGGCCATATTTATTCGAGAGCCGCATTCGATTGGAAATCAAATTTTGATTCGTCAGGTGGCTGGGTTTTCTCCACTCTCTCTCTGTTTGATGGAAAATTACTCAAGCTCAAGATGGATGCATGGATCTTAGTTTTCCCAGTAGCACCACGGCTGATTGATTCATTTTCAGAGGGCGGAGATTACATTCACAGGTGGCTCAGAGGCCACTTTTCCACATAAATACATAATACTCAATTGCATTTGTGGCCAAATTTCAGTTAAACATTGACTTGAAAGGGTTTACATTTCTTTTGGGTATTTCTATAGGCAATGTTTATTATAATTATTATTGAATAATTTATAACTCGCAAAGTAAAGTCATAAAGTCTAAACTTCAAAATACAAATTTAATTTCTTAAATTCTGTAAACATTGCTTAATAAACATATCATTTTTGTTTCCAAGAAGGAGTCTTGAACAGTTTTATTTTTAATGTTTATAAATACTTAGAATGCCTCCTTGAAACAATAAAATAAAAAACCATCCAAACAATCTATGAACCGGGTCTTGACAGCTGTCAATATCCCTTAACTAGCTTGTCTGCCTTAGGGTTTACTTTATTCTGGATTGTCGTACGAGTCAGATCGGTTTTGATAGAAAAACAACCAAAATTATTTAGTGCAAAAACTAAAACTAGTGTTCTTGAAATTTTTCGTGTTTCGAAAATTCCAAAATTTCTTGTTGCTATTGATAATTACATTGCTCAGAGTACGTTTGTGGTGAAAGTGTAAACAGAATCAAAGATGCCTTCATTAAGGAGCATGATACGGACTTGTGCTCAGCTCTCAGGCCGTAGCAATGCCAGGGCATTCGCTACCGAATGCAAAAAACCCAAGGGTGCCGTCGTTGGTGTCTACATGGGAGATGGTGACAAGCCGGCCAAGCCCACCAAGAACGCCGTCCTCCTGGACGATGCAGTCGGCGGTAATCTGATCTCATTGATCCGGGAGCGCGCTATAAACGGCGCCCTTGGCAAGGGTCTGCTGTTTAGCGGATTTGAGGGTGAATATCAGGCGGTGGCCGTCATCGGTGCGGGTAAACATGGTGCAGCCTACAACGAGAACGAAGAGATGGACGAGGGCATGGAGAATGTGCGCATAGCGGCCGGCACTGGAGCCCGGGCCCTGCAGCTTCATGGTATGCATGAGGTGCATGTGGATGCCTTCGATTATCCGGAACAGGCCGCCGAGGGTGCCGCTTTAGCCGTGTGGCGGTTCAATGCCAACAAGAGGAAGAAGCATCGCCTGCACACCCCCAAGTTGGACATGTATGGCAAGGGTGATCGTGATGCCTGGATCCGGGGACTGTTCAAGGCCGAATCACAAAACTTGGCCCGTCGCTTGTCCGACACACCGGCCAACATGATGACACCATCCATCTTTGCCCAGGCCACCGTGGACGCCCTCTGTCCGTGCGGTGTGTCCGTGGAGGTGCGCTCCATGGACTGGATCGAGGACATGAGCCTCAATTCCTTCCTGATGATCGCCAAGGGGTCCTGTGAGCCGCCACTGATGCTGGAGTGCAGCTACTGCGGCACCTCGCCCGAGGATCGTCCCGTTCTGCTGCTGGGACAGGGCCTCACCTTCCATAGCGGCGGCCTGTGTTTGAAGCCCAAAAAGGGCATGGACAAGTACCGCGGAGCCATGGCCGGAGCCGCTGTCTGTGTGGGAGTACTCCGTGCCGCCGCCGCCCTGTCACTGCCCATGAATATCACCGCTGTCATTCCTCTGTGCGAACACATGCCCTCTGGAATGGCTGTCAAGTGCGGCGATGTGGTGACCCTGCTCAATGGCACCACCATGGGTATCAAGAGCGTGGGCAAGGCGCCAGTTGTTCTTATGGCCGATCCCCTGCTGTACGCACAGGCCACATTCAAGCCAAAGCTGGTCATCGATATCGGAACGGTGGCCAAGGGAGTGGACTTTGGCGTCGGCGGTGGTGCCAGTGGTCTATGGACCACCTCCAAGTCAGTGTTTGAGAGCTTCCGCAAGGCTGGTGGCATCACCGGCGACCGCGTCTGGAGGTTCCCACTCTTCAATTACTACAAGCAGATTGTGAACAACAATATCACCTATGACCTGTGCAACACTGGCCGGGGTCACGCCTCCTCTTGTCTGGCGGCGGCCATCCTTCACTCGCTGGTCCCCTGCGTGGACTGGGCCCATCTCGATATCCGAGGCACTGGAATGATCACCAAGGTCAACCCGTTGCCATATCTGCTGAAAGGCTCTATGACCGGACGCCCAACCCGTACAGTGTTCCAGTTCCTCTTCCAAATGGGTTGCCAGGACTAGTATCATTTTAACTAGTATCATCACAAACCGTAGTTTCAGTCTGGTGCAGATTTCCTATCTGTGGGCACCTGTCTCTTTGCCCATGTATTTCATTTTGAAGTCCTTTGGTCTGTGCACACAAGGATGCAGTTGGTGTAAAAGTAAACACTCTTCCCGTAGTCCCACGTGGAATAAATATCAGTGACATCGAACGTATTATTGTTTTTGTTATTATTATTTTGCTCTGGTCGATCAATAACGTTACAATGCTTAAAATCAAAGCTAGAATGCTGTCAATATCGAGTATCTTTTTCGTGAGTAGATACTTTATTATTACCTGGAGAACCACCGTCACTAGGGCGTGAAAGCAATTTGATTAATACATTATTAATGTGAACCGAATCTAACATGGCTAAAAATGATTTCTTATTAACTACATTTTTTTTTGTATATGAATGTTAATCCATAGAAAAACTATATATATGTTAAAATGTTGAATTAACAAAACCGTTTCCTTTAGGAAAATCCTAGAAAAGTTTGAAGCACTTCTAATCAATTAACAATGAATTTAAAAGGCTTTACCTCTATTTTAATTATTTAAGTATGTCAGAATGGATATACATTTTATATTTATTTAGATTCCCCTTTATTAAAACCTTCAACAAGGCTATCCCCCCACTAAAACAAAATTGTAATTTCAAAATCATGGAGGCACAGGCAGGAGTCCCTCAGCCAGGATTATGCCGCCGCTATGTAAATGATAATGACAAAAGAGGAAAATGCAAGGAGAAAGAAAATTTAACACTAAAAAAAAGAAAATCATATGAATTTCAATTAAGTAGTCAACAAGCGGGCACCGGAAGCCGGACGGAGGGCCCTGCTGCTCCGGCCAAGTGCACAGCGATAATAATAATAATAATGGCGGGGAGAGTGGAAATAATTAATTTTCCAAACCAGTGAGTCCAACGCTAATTAAGCTTAATTTTTGGTGTTGCATAACTAATTAAGGTGGGAACAGTGCGAACTGGCCGCAGCAGGCGTCAAAAGCGTTTCACAAGGAGGCTATTATGCAAAAATGTTGCACTTTAATTCTATTTGTCTGCGGGTTTGTTCGGCGACAGGCAGGACAATCCATAATTGGAAAGTATGCCCATGCTTATCTCTCCTGTTTTCTCGACTATTTGAATATGGAATTCAATTTAATGTCGCCCCAGCGCAGGAATATGCAAATCTTTTCTATCAAAAGCACACCAGAACAAGCACAAGCACACAGCACAAATGTTTGCCTTTTGGCTTTGAGCAAGGTGAACCGAAGAAGGGTCACGGCAGCCCGAGAACCCAAACCAAATTGGAATTTTTGGTCATTTTCTCGCCTTTGCGCTTGACCTGACCGAAAAGGACGACAAACTTTCGTCTCCACAACCTGGCAAGCACACAGACATACACATACACAGTTTATCCTGTTTTCAGGCTTGGGTTTCCTCGTTATAAAATATTTGCCCAAGTTGAATAGTTCAAAGTATTTGATTTAAAATTAACATTTGTCTTTGCGCACTCAGTTGGAATTATGCAATGTGTTCAGAGATAAGCCCAGTTGCAATGAAAATGAAATTATTACATACATATTTGCAGATTACTATTTGGACAGCCATTTCTCACACTGACCATATATTGTTGTTAAATGTTTGCATAATTGCCAGCCTAAAGCTTGTGCATATGGGATTCTCGGGGGGTTTACCGAAAACCATAAGGAAACAATGGTAAAAGTTTAAATAAACAATGACATGGAGTTGGCAAATTACGATTTATCTACTTACCTGTTAAGGATTCAGACAAATCATTTCGAAATTTAAATCTCTCTTTAAATATAATTAATAAATTATAGAAACCAAAGAAACCACATCTTTCCCAAAAATAAAGCACAACAAATTGTCTATAATTTTAAATAGATTTTGTTTTGTTTTTATTAAAATGTTTCTTGTCTCACTTTATTTATAACTAAACGCTTAACAACTAAAGATTTTTCTCATTTTTTGTTTTTGCAAATTACCTTAAGTACATTAAGTCTGAAGAGAGTGCTGCTAGACACATTAAAATCAAAATCGAAATACTTATTTTGTCACTTGTTCGGTGTGGGCAAGATGGAGGATACAATAGAAATGGCTTCAAAGTACACATACGCTGAATGAATTAATGCTCAATTGTTGATATTTTAATGGAGTATTTATGTATATATATATAAGCTATGGACCGATTCGAGTTAAGTATGTCGATGCACGTTAGGCGAGTATTGCTTGTGTGATTGAGGTTTATCTAAGGATAGCTTCCCATTTATATAGAATTGTATTCGATTTAGGGCTGATTCAACTCGATTTATGTGTCGTTATAGTACATTTATGTATAATGTGTTCATCGCGGATTAATTATGTATGTATTTATGCGTGTAGTTGGGCTGTTAATAAATTTATCAAAACTTAACATCACATTGCTTCATCGATTACATTAATATATGTATGTATGCTTTGCCTTGAAAGTTCAAAGTTCGGATATATGTATGTATTTATATATGTATTAGGCTGAAACTGATCAAAGTCTAGATTCAAATAACGATATGAATGTGCGATTCTGCGGCAGTTTTACAACTCACGTATCTCAATTGATCAATTGTCGTAGCTAACTATGGGTTTTGTGGCATATCTTTAGTATTTTTATATATATATATAGATGTGGGTGTAAATCGGATTCAAGGAGCAGTGTCATGCGATAATAATACCCTATATAGTCTAAATCTAAGTCAATGAATGCATTGTAAATGCCTCAGTAAATGCATAATCCTTTAGGAAGAGTGTTTCAAGTGTTTTCTGTTCATTGCTGAAGAATGTGTGTATGTCTATGATGATGTCGCTGATGAATAATAATAATAATAATGTTTTAATCCTTTCCTTCGTTTTGTATTGTGCGCTGATTGGCATTTATCTTCTTTGCATTTACTAAAACTGATTGGACGACGATGACGGCATGTTGAGGGCGAAATTCTCTTCACGATATCAGACATTGGGCTTGCGGAAAATCTCATTCGGATGCTGATTGCTGCTAAAGTTTTGCCGTGTCGAGCATTGCTGCAAGGGAAATAAATAAAAAGGTGGCACACGATTAGTAAATATGTATATATGTTATGTGGAAAACATAGGCCCCCGAAAGTGATTGCATTTTAATTACATTTCCATTGCATTGCATCTCCCCCGCCGCACACACACGAGCGAGGGAAATTACCCTGCATTTGGGTCACAAACACACAAAACACACACACATAGACATCGGATAATGACAACTTAACTGCCTTACACCGTCGTTTTTATTATTATTTTCCCTTTGATTTGACGTTGCGGTGTCAGTTCGGACAGAAGGCTATTAAAATAATTGCCAGCCAAATCGTTTATTATGGTGTATGTCTGCCTTCGACCCACTGACACCACCACCACCACCAACCCCTAAATACAACACCCCCGCCAACCTCAATAGCCAGCGGGTGGTTGGTTCGGTGGCCCTCATTATCACTTACCGCTTGCTTCTTTTCCCAGGACTTCATGGCTGTTTTGTATTTCTCAAACTCGTGACACCAGTCCGAGTAGATTTTCTGATAGTCATTACTCTTGTTCGGCGGAGTGCATCTGTTTGAATAAAAAACAGTGTTTCCATGTGATTAGAATAATGGAATTTCTATATTTGGAAAGGGGTTTCCCTACATTAACATGTAATGGCTGCATAAAGCCTAATTATTTTATTATATATGTTTTTTTCTGGTAAATCTTTCTGTGATAAAGCTTTGGGTATAAGTAGATATGTACTTACCTATGGGCATCCACTGTAATGTTGTAGCTGCACAATAGGGAACCGCCCAAATGGCAATCGTAGCGACCGCCATCGGCTTCATTCACCGAAACCACAACCAGGCCACGTTCCGTGGTCTCAATGTACTTTGTGGGCGAGTAACGAATCTCATAGCTGTCGGGGGATTGAGAAGAAAGAAAGAGGATGGAACGATGTCAGAAACTGTGTCGTGTCATTCAATCAGCCAATCGTATTGAACTCACCGTCCCTTGTCCTTGGAGTGATGATACCAGGTCACCTGCTCATTTTTCAGCACTTCGGGGATTTTAACAAAGCAACCCAAATGAACGCTCTGGCCATAGGTAACCACAATTTTCTTCTTCAGCACACTGGAGTCACAGATGTCACTTGTTTCGTTGGCCACGTCCTGCATAGTTAAATATTTCATTTGCATTTGGGTTAGTTGATATCAACTGGTTTCTAGTTCATTTGCTTCTTTTAAAAGCATTAAAAAATAGCCCAGTTCTTGGGAAATGAATAAAAGGTTTCCCTTTTAGAGTGACTTCTTTATAATTGATTTATTCACACTTCCATTTGTAAATGCTTTTCTTGTGTTCTATTAAGTACATTACGTATTTAACATTCAAGAAAATTAGGTCAGTTGTTGTGTTATCCTTTCACTATGTTTATCAAACATAAATCCTTGATTCCCACACTCACCTGCAGCAAATCCAGCTCATAGGGCCGGCACGTGTTGGCCTCCTTGTCCCAGCCGCAGTACGGATCACGAACGCAACGGAAGCAATTGTCGTAACGGCGATTGCACATGGCCAAATCGATTTGCTTGATGCGATGATCGGTGCCAATGTAGAGGCTCTTACGTGTCTGACTGATTTCCATTACCTGGATGGCCTCATTGGGCGCAACCTCAAAGATATCCAGCAGCTTGGACAGCGATTCGCCGTTGCGATAATACTGAACAATTTTATAAACGCGACCCAGATTTGTGCCCACATAGTAAACAATATATTCCTGATTGAGAATGTCAATGCGGATTCTGTAAGAAGATTTTAAATAAATAACACTTTTAGGGATGTATCCTTGAGGTTTTTATCGTAGATAAGAGGTTTCTATCTTTGAATAATAATATTGTTAATAAGCTCATTAAGGCTCGTCCAATTATCTATTTGAGTTATTATTTTGATAACCATTTGATTAAACATCAAGTAGAAGCTATTTAACTAGAAATGATAGAAATTGAATATTAAACAGAAAATTTTCTATAGAAATGTATCTCTACCACGGAAATACATTTAATAAACAATAAGCTCTCTGCGAATCTCTGAATTTTTTCGGAATTTATTTTTTCCCAACGAAAAAATAGAATGAATCCGCAAAAAGATTACCTAGCTGAAATAGCGTTTTTCAGTCTAAAAGCTTACCTGAAAATCATCAAAAATATGTACTATATATATATTGCAACTCACTTGTCAACGACGAGCTTGGTGAAGACCAAATCCCTCTTATAATAGACTGGATTGTTGTGCTCGTGATTTACGGCTTTGTCCATAAGTGGATGGGATCTGATGAAATTCAGCACAGTATCGGGCAGATTGGCAGTATCGTTGACACATGTACCCGGCCGCGGTTCCGGCACCTTATTGTTCAGCACCGGCAGCCAAGCGGAATTCGATGAGGATTGCTCCTTGAATTTACCTGGAATAAGGAGTGAATGGGTAACAATGGCTCATGTGAGTTTTTGGGAGTGTGTGGCAATTGAACTGAACAAAATTGTATCTGCAATTGAAGATTTAAATCTACGAGGCAAAAAGGTGTCAGCTGCTCCTCCTCTAAGCTGTCAAGCGGCATCGAAGTCCCCCATCTGTGTGTGCCGTCTATAATCCATTCAAATGGATTTTCTAATGCGATTTATGTTGCGCACGGCAACGAATCGAAACTGAGCTGAAACTGAGCTGAAACTGAACCGGAACTGAATCGAAACTGAACCTCAACTGAAATTACAAAGCAACCAAGAGTGCTTGCTTGCTCCTCCTCTCGAACGGATAAAACAAATGTGTGGATTGCAAATAAAATTTGCCAATAAGTTGCATGTGCCATTGCCATTTCCATTTCCAATCCGGGCACCGAAACCAATCCACTTGGGGGGACAATGGACAAGCGAGGAAATTGCACGTCAACGAGGGGCAATGTGTGTATAGGATCTCTCTCTCTCTCTCTCTCGGAAAAACGATGATAGCGCGGCGATAGTAAGCTTACCATTGAAGGCAGCCTGAACCTCGTTAATGTGGAAGCTGCATACGGCAGATCCAATCAGGCCATTAGTGCTCGTCGTGAATGTGGCAAAGAAGCGGCTCTTATCGTTGGGCAGCTGGTAGACCGATTGGATCTCATTGAAGTAGAACGGAAACTCGCCAGAGATGCTGCAATTGAGGCGGGCCTTTAGGTAGGTGGCCCAATTGTGGGCCAACAAGTTCTTGCCACCCACATCCTTTTTGCAAACACGAGCGATGCGTGAGTAGACGGCCTTGCCACAATTAATATACTCCACGGCAGTTTCACGGAAAAAGAAATACACGTACTCCCCAATGTCAAAGGAGCCCACAAAGTTGGGTTCTGAAATGAAAAAGGAAAAGAGTATATTAAATAATGCAAGTTGAAATGAAAACAAAGTTTTAAAGCAATGAATCAGGAAATTAAGCGACGCTCCTAATACCCTCTAATTTATCTCATTTAGCAACTTACTGTCCAGCCACTTGGAGTCGTATTTCAGGGTCCTCTTGAATTTATATTCCAAACGTTTAGCCGATGTATTATAAAGATCTGTGCGGAAAATAACCGTATCCGCCTTGGTGAACTCCGCATTGGTGCCCGAGTACTGAAACAAAAGAGGGAAAAGTTCGTTAAGGTCGAAGAAACTTTAAGTTTATGAGGGCATTTTACTTACCAGGCCAGGAAGACCGCCAGGATTGCCATTCTCTACATAAATCGCCGTCGAGTTGTCCAAGGGATCGTAGGGACACTTGGCAATGCCCAGGCCAACGCCAATCACATATTCCGAGCGCGGCAGGTGGGTCAGATTCGCCTAAGTCGTAACGAACAGGTGAATAAAAACGGGGTAAATAGGCAGAAAAGATACGCCTCCGAGTGTTTGACTTTAGTTTAAGGGGCTTTATCTATCTACGCGTGTATGAATAGATGTCAAAGGCCGAGGTGAGCAACAACTGTTGATTGCCATCTAAAGTCAACTGTCGGTGGCGGCAATCTTTTCATGAATGGCTTCCCAATCTGGGGCCGACTTACATAGATAACATAATCCTTGGGATTGTGGGCGTTGGTGCCGCACACATAGAGCCTATCGCCCTGCTCCATTGACTGGATGACACGCACATGGTTCTTGCAATCGAAAATCTGTGGAAATACATATTGATTATAGGAGGAGATGTGTGTATATACATAAACATAAAGGATGAAGGATGAAACTGTAGAAGAAGCCGACACAATGTTGTGGCCAACTATAGTTACTACTACTATTGAGAGTTTTTTTCAATTTATTGAGGGCACAGCATCATCTGTTTTGTCACCCAATCGCAATCGAAATTGTTGCCACTCGGTAATGCTGCAGCGAATTTGTGGCAGAAATGTGGACAAATTGCAATAGCACGCGTCGCTGCCGAAGCTAAATCAATTGGCAACAATGCAACGAAACGCTGCAAAAATTACTACCACCACCCCCCACACACACACACACACACACAAGCAGCTTTATGATGACTTAAGCAGGATACCCATATGTGGCCTCCATGCTGCTCGAGCGTGTGTGTGTGCGGTGCAACATGCAACATGCTGCCTTTGGCTCCTGCCACGAATAACTTGAAATTGATTTCGAATGAAAGGATTTGCTGTCACATTATAAACGAGTTGCAACAGAAGCGTCTGCCACATTGCCAGTCGATGGGATTTCCTTGGCTTTAAAACTGCAATCGAGTTACTGAAATACCTCCACAGGGATGTGATTTATTTGCAACTATATACAATATATATATATATATATATATATATATATATGTGGGAGGTGCAGAAAAATGCACACGAATTTTCTCCAAGACAAGGTGAAACAATTGTATAAAAATGTGGGTTTTTCCTTTGAAGGAAAAATATTAAATTCATATGAAATTGGAAGGCAGATTAAAATGAAAAGAGAAAATGGATTCTGAAAATGGTATTTCCATATGAAATATATACATTGTTTTGTTTTGCATAATCCTTGGATTTTAGTTGTTTTTAATTCAATTTAGAAGACACCTGTTCTTAGCCTTAGCACTTTTATAAATCAAAGCTAAGGTATAGAGTTGCTACATCAATTTAGATAATGGAAGCTTCTTGAAAATTTTTATATAAATTTAGTTATTTATTTACTCACCTGACTCTTTCCCTTGGAAACACAGCTAACCACATCATCGCGCGTTGGCTCCAAGTTGATCACATCCCGCTGCAAATGAAAGATATTTCCCCAGTTAGATTAGCAAAGATGTGAGGAAAATTAAATCTAGTTCAGTTGGCATTAACCATTAGCTTAAAAGCTCACGTGATGCCGGCTCTATCAATTCAAAAATTCAATTTACTCAAAAAAGCACAAAATACGCTCGTACAAAAATTGTATATTGCAAATGCGATGAGGTTTGGGGGTGGTGGTGGTGGATGCCGCATGTGGCATAAACTACAACTAGCAGTCGTCCGTGGCACCTTCAGAATGCTTTCAACTAAATTTATTTATAAATCACGTAATGTTACCCAGGCAGAGGCACACACGAAATATTTTCACGCACCAACCTCTCCATTGCCGCCATTGCCAACGCGGCATCCACCCAGCCACCCAGCCATCCAACCACCACCAACCACCTTACCACCCAGAAACCACCCACTTGGGAGGCCGACAGTCGCAGCAGAGCGTTCATATAAAACCAAAATCATGTATTATTTAGTTGAATTTGCATTTGGCGCATAAAGCAGCGGTAGCAGCAGCACGGAGGAACAGGTGCAGGAGTTGGAAGCCAAAAGGAGAGGCAGACACTGAGAGAAAATTGACCCAATTTTATAATTATTAATGAGTAGAGGATGAAAAATTGAAATTGAACTTCTAAAGTTTCAACAACTTAGATGTACATTTAATCAAATATTTCAAGATAATAAATAATATATAATTTTGTCAAAATGGAATATTCTTATAGAAACCAGTTAGAATTATAAGAGCATTTCCGATTATTAAAAGAAATTTTTCATAATTAAACTACTAGCAAACTAAATCAGCATTTGTTATTAATTAACTCAACATAACATATAAAATTAAAAAAAAACTTCAAGAATTACTGAAAACTGAACAAGAGTTGGTTAATTGGTAAATAAATCCAGTCAACAGGTTCAATGATGCCAACGTTTTATAATCTAACATATAAGGCTTTTACATTCTTTAGACAATTTCAATAACGAATTCCCCTTTTCTGTCAGTGTATCGCTGCCTGTGTATAGGCCAGAACCAAATGATGCCCACGGGCGAATGTATTCGCACTTAACCGCATAAAATATATTGACGTATCCTGGCTGGCGAACATGCGCTACAAGGAAATATAACCTCTTAGACTTTTACGATTCAGCTCGGAGATGCGTTGTGTGTGTGTGTTTTAGTAGGTTGAGGGCTTTTCAATGGCATGGAAATGGTAGGTGGAAATGAAAATGGAATGGATGAAGGGCACTGCGTGGAGGAGGCAGCTTCAAATCAGGTGTGTGTGTGTGCCTGTCTCCCGCTCATAAAACAAACTTTTGCAAGTCATAAATTCATAAACAGCCCAAGCTCGGGACCAGGCCCAAGGTGCTCGAGACACGGGGTAGCACTTCCTGTAATCGAATTGCCTCGCAAATGTTGTGGCAAGTTCGCGTATGTGCCGCCCGATACGATATCTGGGCAGCGCATAAACCAGTTCGGGGAATACGCCAGGAACATAATGCTCCGGACAAGAGAGTGCATATTAAATATGTTTTTTTTTTTGCCCTTTTTTCGTTGGGTTAACTAAAATAAACATTCTGGTTTGTATTTTTTTTTTGTTGTGGGCTGCTGCGCCGTGGGAATCGAAGATTTGTGGCTGTCGTCGTTGTCGTGTTGCCATTTGAAGTGCGCCTAAAAGGCTGCTAAGCCGGTGTATTGTGCTGACAACGTTTAGATGGCGCTTTATGGCCACAAAAAGCGGCAAGAAGCTTAGCGGCCATTTGGAAACTATGGAAAAACACTCCACACACACACACACACACACCCTGCCAACGGGGAGTATAATGAATTTTTAACAATATGCCACAGAGCAGAGCAGCAACAGCCGCAAGCAAAGTTGTTTTGCCCCAAAAGCTTTTCATGATTTTGTTTCCCTTTTTTTTTTGTTGCTGCTGCTGCTGCCTCTGTCAGTTAGATTTGTGACTCGACCCTGGACAACCTGCCACATCCCCTTTGGTGACCTTTGGCTGCAAAAGGACTTAGCCTAAAAGCGTGCTCTAGGATTATCATATTCCAGGCATTTAGGATAATCAGACGCGAAAGTTAGCCATAGTACTTACATTACAATTGGACGAGGAGATATTCTGCAGGTTCAAACGGAATACTCGATCCCTGAAAGAGAAGATATATAAATAATTATTGTTGCAATGATATATTAAAATGAAACTTACATTGCACCCACATAGAGCGTATCCCGATCCTCGTTCATATGAAATGTCCGATATACAGCTTGCCGCAGTTAAACTCCCGCACATGATCTTGGGAATAAAGAAAGGAAAACATTTTCGTTAGGTAAATTCAATATTTGCTCAAGAAATTTTCCCTAAGTGATACGCCGGATGCAGAGACATGGCGGACATGGCGTCTAGATAGTGTCAACAAAGTTTTATTCCCGGCAAAATACTCGAACAGGACACTGGCCACAGACCAAACAGGATGGGTGGGAGGATGGCTCAAGAGATACAGTTAGATAGATATCCCATTTCAATCAAATGACATTTTGGTGCACAAAGGAAAAAGGAAAAACTCGAGAATGGTTTTGTTTATTTACATTGAAGTTTTTTCCGCAGAGCAAAGCAGAAAATAATCAGAGTTTAGGGAAAACTCTCTGCACATCCCCCCACACCCAGCCCCCCGCCAAACAAGAGCCATTAATTATAAGTATTGTATTATGTTAATTTCTGTGACGTCGCTTTGTCTGCAAATTGTTTGCCCATCGGGAGTATGATGTGTGTGTGTGTGTGTATATGTGGTTATTGCTAAATGCTGAGCACACAGTTCTTTAATTAAACTAATTTGTATTTGCCCGCCTGTCACTCAACGCTCTGCCTCAATATCATCAGCAATTAATTGAGATGATAGAATTATGATGGGTGATGGGGATGAGGAAGCTGCGGGGCAGCCAAAAGTGTCAAATGTCGTTCAAGAAATATTATGGATGACCGAGGCGGGCATTATCCGCCGGACAATGGCCGAAAGTATGACAGAGGTCAGCGATGGAGCAAACAAAAGGCCAGGACCCCAAACACAACAGGAGCCAAAGAGCCCAGCACCCAAAACAGGCATCCGATTTATGCTTTTGCTCAACAATGGAATATGTAAATACCGAAAGGAAACCCAAGACCCCACAGGCAGAAATGTAGCTATTTTTGATTTCCGATTTCGGTTGAATATATATATACATATATATTTCTTTTTTTTTTTGTTCAGGGCAAGGGGAAACGAACAACGAACAACGAACGGGCCAACCTATTGGCCAACTACAATAGAAGTGCGCACTCACATCCGTATACATATATGTACATACATGCCTGTTTGCATGCACAATTCGGATAGGATGTCCTTGCCAAACAGGAAGTCGACTTGTGTACGCTTGAAATGCTTTTGTACATATTTTTATTGTGAATGCCTGTCGAACTTTCCTGCTTTTTCTTCAACTTTTTCCCCCGCTCCTTTCTATTTTGTTTTTTCCCTTTTTTTATAACAACTTTTCGCCAAGTTTTATGCTTGCATCTTAAAGGGGTCTGGAGATTTTCAAGAACTCTTTAAGAAAACCAAACAAGAAAATCATAAACAATTTGCATTCACATTTACACAAACTTAATTGACCACATTGAGTTAAGAACTGCTCGGGAGTCGATTTCGTAGAGCCACAGAACTATAAATGTTTCATGGAGTCTGGTTAAATCTCTCTGGCACACAACGATTTGCGAGATTGTTTATGGGGCCAATTGTCATCGGCAGCCAGTAAAAACATATTGCCACGATTTCATGACTGGATTAAGCCAATAAAAATATGGCAAATATTAACATAAAATTGATGGCACTAAAGGACGTGAACTCTAGCGAATCGAGGTTATACCAATTGGCTTCTGGCACTTTGTGTAAGTGAGTGAAAATGCGGGGCCCTTTTAAATTAATGGTAGTGTGTTCGGAATTATTCAAGGGAAAATGTTTAAGAAATTTATTAAAGTCTTTTTATATAAGTGAGTTTTTTTAGAGTTAAGAATCTTATTTAAAGGATATAAAGAAAGAAACATTAAAAAACTATGAATAGTAGATTTCTTTATTGAACTTTTCTATCTATAAAACACTAAATTCATTGGAAATCTTATCAAAAACTCCCCATAAAATAAGTTTATGTTTATACTCTTCCAGGGTATTATAATTTGAGTCTGAATCTTGAAGGAGTAATTTCCGACCCTATAAATCATATATATTCTTGATCAGCATGAAAAACCGAGTCAATCTAGACATCTTCGACAGAAACAAATTTTGTTTAATTTTTTCAAAATTTTGTAAGGGGTTACATCGTTAAATTTGTCAAAATTTATCAAAATTTTAATTTTAAATTAAGTATGCATATTTATTAACCTTATAAAACCCAACATTGGAAAGTTCTCCGAATTAAAATTTATGCTTTTTTTTGCTTAGTTATGAGGTTTTAAAGCTTTGATTTATTGAGAAAATGGTTACAGAAAAATATTAATAAATATCGATACAAAAATTGCAAATATTTTAAGCTTAATTACGATCGATTTCCGATTTGATTCTATAATTCAATTGCAAACTCCAAGGGTATGTAATTTTCGGCTTCCCGAAGTTAGTTTCATTCTTGTTTCTAATACATTTTTTATAGCAGATAAAACTCAGTTTAAAATATATCTCCGCCCATCAGTCTTATCCATTTCCCTCGCTCAAAAACCCCAGTGGAAATCCCTCAATATGCCGCTAAAGTTTGCCCAGAAGGCAACTGTAAAAATCCTTTCAAAATTTGACATTTAAGATGTGAACTTTATTTGCTTTTAATCCAAGTCCAATCAAAATCAAATTGCATTTACGAGCTGCCTTTGAGAGACGCAAGAAAAAAAAAGAAAACAAACGCCAAATTTTATATTCCTTTTTTTTTGGGTTTCGCTTGGCAATTTTCCTTTGGGATTTTTCATTTGGGGAGTAGGAGAGTGCTTATGTGTATGAGCATTTATGACTCCGCCATATATGTCAATAATTTTTATGCTCTTCATAAATATGCGTTTGGCTTTTACGACCAACCCTCCCCCTTCCGACGTGTGGAAAAACGGAGCGAAAAGCGTTAAGATGAGACGAGGGCGGCAGTCAAATCAATTTCTGGAAGGGAGAAAATGACATTTTCGAAAACGTTATTATCAAATCAAATGCGAGCTAAAGGAGTCCAAGGAGGTCGGAGGCGAAGTTGAATTGCAATGAGCATATTGTAAATTTAATGTCCTTTCACCCACCCAATCCACCCATTTGACCGCGCTTCAGGCAAATACATATATGATATATATACATATATATATATATAGGAGCGCAGAGAGCCCATGTCAGTTGCAGGTGCACAAACCCTTGGCTGACATTTACCTTTGAAATGTTAAGGTAAATTCCAAATTTGTCGCAAAAGATGACACACAAAATGGTACCGGCTCTTGCAGGCAAATTTCCTTCTACCAAAGTTATGTCAAATCAATAACCCAAGGCTATTTAAGCTAACATCGTTGAGTAAATAATCTTTAAAGTAGGAAAACCAAAATATCCTTTGATAATTATTCTTTTGTGGCTCAACTTGTTCAAAGAATGTCTAGAGTCTAGACAATGGGAGGATGGCGATGATGAGGCAAAAACAAAAACCCAGACAAATCGAAAGGAAATAAAGTGGTACAGTCATACTTGTCAGTATATTAAATATAATATATTATTTTATAATTTATGAAATGGGTTAAATTATAAGTAATTTATCTTATTTCTTTCCCTGATTTAGATTTATACCAAATGAACCTTTAATATGGAGTTTTAATATTATTTCGACTCAACTAAAATAATTTCCCTTCTTTTTAAATACACATCAGAATATTTCTGTGGAAATTTCCCCTCTTATTTCCATGCTAAATTAGTAATATTTCTTTTTTACCTTCCTATTTTAAATGAAAACCAGAACTTGTAATAATCGTATGTTAATGGTAATGCTTTTATGGCTCAAAAAATATTAACTAAACGAAAATATCGAGTTTTTCAATAATTTCAACTCAACTAAACTAATTTCCCTGCTTTTAGAATCCCCACCAGCATATTTCTCTGGAAATTTCCCCATTTATTTCAATGCTTTATTAGTAATATTTTTTTTACCTTCCTATTTTAAATTAAAATCAGAACTTTTAATAATCTTATGTTAATGGTAATGCTTTTATGGCTCCAAAAATATTAACTAAATGAAAATATGGAGTTTTAAAATAATTCCAACTTAACTAAATTAATTTCCCAGCTTTTAGAATCCCCACCAGCATATTTCTGTGGAAATTTCCTCACTTATTTCCATGCTTTTGCTAATTATGAGACGTTCACGTCGGCTCTAAGCACTCCAAAAGCCGTCTAGACGTCTGCACCTGGGCTACAAACCGAAACTGTAAGGCGTGGCAGGATGGGGGCCGGGTCGAGAAAAGCCAAAGAAGAATAGAATTTGCAGAGGGAGGAGCCAGGGCACATGGGAAGTGGAAACCAAAATGCTTACCCAAAGTGGTTGCCATTTCATTTGCACAGAACAACAACAAAAGAGCTCCACAACACTCGTGGATTGTCTCCGTCTCCTCTGTTGATTGTGTCTGTGTATATAATTAAAACGCATATGCATGGTAAATACACTTATTGTCAGCACTGTACTGCCCAAAGGCTTTGGGTTTGCTGCTGCTGCAGCAGCTTTAATTCTACACTACACAATATAGAAATGAAAATTCCAACGATGAGAAATTCTGCGAGGGTGGCTGTCTGTTCTGTGCGAAACATTTTCAACTCAATTTAGTTCATTTTATGGCAGCAGCAATGCGCAGCAGCAAGTTCATTTTGTTGCAAAATAGCAGCAGAAATGCAAAAAAAAAAGAAACAAAAAACAAGAAAGGAAGCTAACTTCGGCACGCCGAAGTTTATATACCCTTGCAGATAGAAATTCTATGACTAGGAATCCATACCATATAAATTAAATATATTTGTGTTAAAAAACAATGAAGTAATACCTGCTTTCATTTCATTCACCTATACATATTATATTTGCAGTTTTACATTCACAGATTTGCATTTTTCCTCTTCATCAAACGATCGTTTGTATGGCACCTATATGATATAGTCGTCCGATTTTTATGAAATTTGCCACAAAATTTAAGACTAATATAAAATGGCTACACCTCAAATTTGATGAAAATCTGTTGAAAACTGAAAAAGTTATAATTTTTAATTTTATTAATTTATC